TATCATTTACAGTTAGATTTTGAGTTTTCATCATCAACAAAACTGAGAATTAATGTGTGTAGGAAATTTGGAATCCATCCTCTGCACATTTGAAGTGCTAGCTATTCACTTTATGCACAAAATGACCCTGTCAATATACCGGGGTACCAATTTAAATCATTTATCAATTTCAGTTTTAGAAATTTTTGAGTATGTTAGGAAACAATTATGTGTTGTGCTTGATCCAGTCAATAAATGGAGACCAAGAGGTTTAAATGCTGGTATCAAATGGCTCTGAATATTTCCTAATATTAACTCAGATGTTTACTGTGATCTGATTTGAGAAATATCATTCTTTCAAATAAGATGTCAGTGAATGGATTTAGGTCAAGGTCAGAGTTGTGGTGGACTGACAATTAGGTTATGTCTGAACTATATCTAATCTGACATTCAAACTCATCAATAAATGGTATTCCAATCTTCACATTCCATTAAATTATAAAAGCTAGGTGCTAACTTTATTTGCGTTTTAATGAAGAAGAGAATAAAATTATGATTCTTGCAAGATGTCAATGCCGACGATAGCAATCTAAGACTTTTTTGTCAGACTTTTTAATTTGACAGTACTGGATACATTTTCCTTAATTGATTCTTTGGAAGTGGAGTGATTCTATAGATATGGATGATGGCTATATAAATGTAATGCATATATAGTTGTACTTTTGTCTTTGATAGACAGGGCTTGAAATAGTTCTTACTGACATCAAAAGGCATTTTTTTGATGTGCAACTTGATTTTTCAATTGATGTGTATCCATTTTTTTGTTGAGGAAGTGTTTTACATTAAAATATTTCCAGAGATAAGATCTGATGTGAAATAATGTAAAAGATATATTATTGCTTTTATTGCTTGATGTTTATCTAGATTTTTGTGAGTCATATGTCTTGTATACATTTAGGAACATGATTGACATTAAGATGCTTTTTAGATCACATATCCTCAGATCTCTGAAATCCACTGATTATACTTTGATCATAATACATGTACTAATAATGTTTGTATATATTTATTTAATATATTTTTCTCTTGTTTGATAGAACAATACATTTACTTATTATGTTTGATTTGCACTTAATTCATCTATGTGTATCTGTTTTCAAGGGCTTGTGTCCATTTATATTTATTTGAAAACTTCGTTAACACACTGGGTAACTTTGATGGAAGAGTTGTGTGAATTTAAATTGTTATATTTGGGCATCTGAGACATGGAATTTGGTAAATTTGCAGAAAATATTGATGGTAGATGTGAACTTTTGGGTACATTTCTCTTGATTCTGCTGACAAAAATATCTGACAACCTTCAGAATGGTGAGCTACAAAACAGCTCCAAACCATGTCTCCTTCTGTGTTTCTTAACTCTTCTCTTGCCATTTGATCTGCTTTGATTTCTTGGGAATTGTTTACAATTTAAGAAATATTTACATGACTCCAGTGTCACAATGTTGATAATTCTCTTTGAATTTTGGCAAAGTCTTGTGGAAGCAAAGAGAGAAAAGGTTTTGTGTTCTCTTGGATGATGTATATATTAGAAGGTATAGAACAGACTGGGAATTATGATTAAAATGTTCCAAGTTCTTCATCAAAGATTGAAGTCAATTGCCTTTTATTGGGCAAACAGTGGCAGGGCTAGGTGATGACAAGGCTTTCTTTGATCCTGACAATGTGGCGGACCCTCAAATAAGAGTCACGGTGCTCATCAATAATGCATATACCAATCTGTTTGATCAGAGTAGAGGGGCACTTACGGGAAAATATGATTAGAATGATTTTGTGCCTGTAGGGAAAACATTAAATGTCAACCGGAAAAGGGGGATTTTTAACTTTGAGAATGTATGTCTGCTTATGTTTTTCGGCCATTGAGCAAGATCTGGTGATAGTTGTGGGTCTATGAGTCAATTCATGGTCAAGTTAATGGTCTTTGTGAGTAAGAGACACCGACTCTGCTATGCATGAGTCAATAAATAGTGATTTCTTTTTTTTTTGTTTTAATATGTACTTGAGATATGATGTATGATTGGATGAATAGACAAGACTCGTCAGAAGCACTCAACAAATGAGTCTAGGGACCCAGGGGCAGAGATTTTCATAGGAATAATTGGTACAATTAAATGATGATCAGTGCAGATTAGTGGAAGAATGAATTGTGAATGGTGACAAATGGGGTTTTGGAGATGGTTATGTGGAAGTTTTTATCTGCTTGGATTGAAATTGCCATACATCAAATTTCCCTGAAGAAATAGCTATGTCCATAGAAATGCAAATGAAGAAGAACTACCTTTTTGTTCAGATATGTTGAAGATGTAAAAAACACATGAATTTGATATAATGAAACTTATGTTTGATGAAGGGAAAAACCAATTATTTTTGATACAATATAGCTCAAAACTGAGCTAATTTAATGAATTGAATGTAGAAATCAAAGGAAATCAAAAGGGAGGAAAACAATACACACAGCAAAAAATTGTAAATAATATGGAAAAAAAAAAGCAAAGGCAAATCAACTGAACTTGCTTAGGCATTTCCTTCAGATGTAGGGAAGAATATAAATAGAAATGTTACCATGTTATTCATTTTATCTTGCTTTCAAGCTTTTAGAATAAATTATTAATAGGCTATTAATATTTTTTTTTTTTTTGAGCTTTTAAAATAATTTATGAATTCAGGCAAAATTTTATGAAAACACTGAATTACTAAGACTTTGTGTATATAGTGTCAAAATGCCAAACTGATAGCAGAATGCAGAAGCGTATCATTATATAACCAGTTAGAATTAATCAGTATAAATTCCCTGAATTTTGACAGGCATGTTATTCACAATCAAAGAACGTGATATGTGCCATGTCACAACATCTATGAAGGTGTCCTCGGGGCTCTGTTCTGCATATTTTAACAATGAAAACAAACATGGGAAAAAAATTTATAATGCACTGGAAGAAGTGAAGAACAGAAGGGTCTATAAATTGTTCACTATCTTGCATGTTTTATGGACATTGTACATGCATGTTGACACTTTAATTGACTAGCTTTTACAGACCGGGTTGTAAAAAAGTACACTGAAGGCCATCACTCAAAGCCCCTGACAACAGGTGTGAAAATATTGGGACTGTCCTGTAGAAAATAAGAGAAATCATTATGAGTTGGCAGAGGTTTTGTTTGTTTAGATTATCAACATCAAGCACACTTCTGTGTAATCAATTAACACCATTTTCATTCAGTATAATTATTATTTGAAAAGATTAAAACAGATGTTCACATTTCTGTGTAAATATACCCTACTCAGCTAGACCCTCTCTTGCTTCAGTGAGTAATTAGTTATGGCTATTTTGTATTTATTGAAAACATTTTGATAACAATCAATGTACACAAACAACGCAACAGCCTTTTTACAGCAAAATGCTTTTTGCCTAGTGTGTGTGACCTTAAAGTATCAAGAGTATATACATCTAGACATCAAGTCAAAGGTGATGTTTTGCGGCTAATTAACGACTTCCATCTTCCTCTGTAGGGCCCGGCCCTCTTCACGAGGAAGTAACCACCTTTGATACCTTCCCCTCAGTGTTTGACTGTCTTTGATCTTGAGACATAGGGAGGAGAGATAGTTATTGATTCCTGTTACACTGTTTATGATTGGTAGATTGTCTGTTTCTCTCTGATACTAACAAAAGCCACCATAAGGAACTCCATAGTTAAATACTTCCACTCTGGGCATTTCTTTTTAAGGAATGGTTTTCTTAAATTCTTTGAAGGTAAGAATTTGGGATACATTTGTTTATGTGTGTATATATATACTTTGTCAATTGTCTTTGGGTGAATTTTCTTCATAGGTTTTTGTCTTGATAGTTTTAAAGATTAGATATAAGAGAGAGAGAGAGAAGAAAAAATATAAGCATGACACAAATTAAGCATGCAGATTTTAAAAGTGTAAATTAACCTACCTTAATTAAGAGGTTTAATGGGAGTTTGGTATGTGGAGGGAAAAAGATGCTAATAAGAAATTTCATCTCTTCATTAAAGAAAATAAAAACTTACCAAGCAGAATGTGTTTTTGCTTCTATAAAGACATGTGGTTATATACAGATCTTAATTACAGTTTGGGATGTGTGTGTGCTTTTGAGGTTTTTATTATCTCTGCTTGTTAAACATCTGAGCACTAAGGTGTTAACATCCCCATGCAAGCATCAAAGGCTAGGTGTCCAAAAGGTAATAATACTCCAATCAGATTATGTCATAACAGATGTCAGGTTACATAACATCTTCACTCCAGAGGAGCTTTGATCTGGGGCCAGCCAGGTAGATTATCTACCCAGGTAAACATGGTGTCTCTATCTATAGGTAAACATAAGCTCAAACACTGCTGTCTAACAGATTCTTCATCAAATTGTGGAGGAATGAGGGCAAGTCCTAAACGATTATCCTGGAGGGGAGCAATTCCGAAGATTTTGGGATTCCGCAAAGTTTTGGGAGTAAGGAGAATGATTAAACACTTGCCTCCGTGGAGGCTGATTTATTTTCTCTTTGATTCTAACTAGCGCCTGGGTTTGGTATGATCGTTCCTCTATAATGTCTGAACATTTTGCCAAGCATCTCTTTTGTAAGTTCAGAGGGAGTCGAAACCAGAAGAACAAGTTTGATCAAATGACAGTTTTTCGATAATAATGTTGGCAAACTGAATGTTTTCAGGCTTTTTGAGAACTAGCAGCTGCCATTTTTGTAGGATATGGGGGCTGTGATAATCAAACTTCGGGAATGCCGAAGGATTGGCAGTGAAAATTGTTAAAATAAAAAAAAGAAAAAAAATAACAAGATAGATGGAATCTTTTTCTGACTCCAACATTTTAGATGCAGGTTTCTGAAAGTTGTCAGTTGAGATTTGTTTTAGCTGTTCTTAAGATATTACTATTGATATAGCCCTATGTTGTTGTGAACCATATGAGTCATTCTGATTTTTCCCTAATTTACAGGAACTGTCAGTCAGTCTGGATAATAAAGGAGGCAGCATTCCACTCAGAGGTATGTTAATTAAACAATAAGCTTTAATTAATCTATGAGTGTTATCGGAACTAAAATTCTATCTCTTGATTGTCTGATATACCAAAAATTTTGCATGATAGAAACACAGATAATTAATGAAGAGGAGGCAAAAGGCATCGTTATTCAATGTTATGCTTCTACTCATTAATAACATTAAGATAATGAAGTAATTTTTAATAAAAAAGCCAAAAATGAAAGTGGCTTTTTGCAGACACTGCTTTTCATCAGAAACATCCCATGAATTTCCGTTTTATCAGGACTATCAGACTTGATGTGAGGTGAAGGAGCTAGGTTTTTGGTGATAAATGAATCTGTCACGGTACATGAAGTGTGTATTAATCATCCAGTGATTTTTATTCCAGTGGAACTCCCTCCCCAGAAGATGGATACAGAGAATCCCAAAGTTCTGGAGCTGGAACAGGACTTGGAGAAACCTCCTCTTAATATAGAAGTAAGTGAGACAAATATTTTTCTTTTTTAAAAAATGAATTTTTTGTTAATTAAAAATACATGTATATTTTGTATTATATAAGACAGCAATCCCATTCTTATCTTGCTGAAAAATATTATAGTGCTTTTTTTGTGATCGGAATAATATCTATTTGTCAAAACGCATTTACCAGATCTCGTTGGATCTGATTAAATTGTGTATTTTACATTAATTTTAATAATATTAATACTAAATTTGATTCAGAAGCTGGTTTTGATTTATTTTTAATTTTCCAGACAAAAGTGAAGTTGTTGGAACTATATTAAAATGAATTTTTAATTTGAGAAAAAAAAAGTTGTCCTTTGAATTGAAAGTAGGTGAGGTGTGGAGATACCCTGAATGTGGAAATGAAGTGTTTTTCAATATTCATTTGTCAATTTCCATTATCAGATTGTCTTGTAAAAGTACAGAGAGTTTGGGTTTAGCGATAGTGCAAAGTAATTCTATCTTATCAAAAGGATTCTTTTTTTGGTCGTACATCGGTTAATGAAAACTTTACTTGAAATAGTGTGAAACTAAATGAGCCATACCTTAAGAGATATATCTGTCTTTGTGCACCAACCAAGCAAGTTTGTATGTAAAGAATTCATGTAGGTATATTTTCTTATTGTGGCTTTGTAATATAAGACCCTTTTGAAGTTACTTGAGGGTGTTAGAGTGATAAATATCAATATTGAAAAAAAAATTTATTTGAATAAAACGTACCATTTTAAACATAATTCAGAAGAAATGAGATATGAAAAATGACAAGTAAACAGAATTAATTATTTAAATGTTAGTGTCAAAAGGGAAAGGAGAGATATCTTAGTTTTAACATATTGGTACATTCTTACAAGAAATTGCAGTAAACTGGTAACTTTTAAGGATGAATGGGAGGAAAAGAGGTTATTCTATGAATCAAGAGGATCCTGTTGTCACAAATAAAATGGCAGGTGTCTGATCTATTCCCTCCAGTACCATTGTGTGCCAAGCTAGGAACACATTTGGTCAGTCCAACAAAGCAAAATCGTAAAAATCACTTCTAAGGAAATATGAAACAGGATGAAGCATTCTTGTATGGCATTTATGTGCTAAATTTTCAACCTAAATACAACTTCCAAAATAACAAGTAAGTATTGAGTTCCTTTGAAACATACATAAATAAGTCATAAAGACACAGCAAGAGCCGAGGAAATAAAACTGCCATCCTCATTGGTGTCACGGTGACCAGGGAACATTGGCTTGGTCATTAGATGAAGTGAATTGTCGGCTTTTGATGTCCTTAGTACTCCAATATTGATGACTTGCAAGAATTAATTGTTTACAATCTGCCCTGTATTTTAAAAGAGGGGTCTACCTGAGATGGCTGGATATCATAAAAGGGACAAAAATATTTAGGTCACAGTGTTTTATATGTTAATACTGCTTAAAATTTGAAAGGTTTGTGAATGAAATGTTTTTTTCCTCTGTCGTGCTTCTCAAGTGAATTCGGTGTGTTATGTTGCACAGTTTCAAAGAGTACAGTTAACATTTTGCTGAAACATGTATAGCCAATATGTTCAATATTCATTATTTTCCTTTAAATATCTAATGGGTTCTAGAGATGAAATTTTGAAGCCTCTTTAGATTTTGAAATAATTAAGATACGGATAATTATTAATGGGGGAAAGAAAATTTTTCTTACAAAAAACTAATATGGTATGTACCCACATTTAATATGGTAATGAAATTAACTGCGCCTTGTAATTAATGTATTTCCTTATCTCTTCATGTTAAAATTGGTGGTCAATTACCATTTGAATCAAATGAAATATTCTTTAAAACAGCTTGCAAACCTGGAGCTTCGACACCTAACAGCGAAATAAATTCACTGAACCGTCTGCAACCGTTAAACAAACTACACAGCTATTTTCGAGTTCTGTATTAATATTTTATTGCTGCAACCATTTCTTTTTTTGTTATTGAACAAATAACACCATTTAGGAAACAGTTATTGCTGTTCGACCCACTGATTTGAGTAGGGATTATAAGTGCAAGATCTGTTTCACTGATCTCATCCCCGATTTTTCTGTGCCTTAAATTGCCTTTTAGTTAATCATATTTAATATGTTATAAATGGAACTAAAAGTGTTAGTGGTATAAAAAATTAAATATGGTATTCTAAAATACTAAATTCAAAATTTTACCCACAACAGATAACTGGGTTAGGCTTTTTTTTTTTTTTTGGAACTAGCATTCCAAGTGGAGAAAGGTTAATGCCATATGCATGTATAAACGTACTTATTTGTGCAAATTTGATTCCACTGTCCTAAAACTGAACAAAATCCCCAAGGAAGTAATTATGTTATGGCATGGCCAAAGGCCAGATAGTTCAATTCTTCATTAGCTGCCATAAATTGATTATCTCCATATGTCTCTTACTTGTGTGCATGTTTGTACCAATAAGACACTAATTCGCCACTGAAGGCTGCAGCAGAAGACGCAGACTCACTCACAACACTTTTATTCATGGATGATTAATTTACCAATTAAATATGTCCAAACAAATACATCAGAATTCACATTGGCACACAACTGCAAATTGTTCTGATGTGTCAAATTTTCCATCATGATTCCTAGTAAAAAAGTAGAATGTAGCTTTACTCCTATGGTCATGAAAGTACCATCATTGCACATGTTGTCACAGAGTGTGAAGAATAAAAATTCAGTTATGGAATTCAGTTTATTCCTTCACTCAAGTGAAGTCATTGTCAATGTCATTGTCAACATTGTCAAAATGTTTGAAGTATGTTTACTGTATGTAAAACTTTTAACATATGTAACTTTTTTTTCAGGAGTTTGAGTGTGGTGTCCATTTTGAGGGGCTGGAGAAGAATAAGCAGGAGTGGTCTTTTACACTGTATGATTTTGATGGACACGGAAAAATCACCAGAGAGGTATAAAGTTACTTTGCCGTGTATGGTTTAAGACTTCTACTATTTAAAAACCTCAAAGGAAAGTCAGATAATATAGAAGAGATAAGTAAAAAGATATGTTAACACATAAAATCAAAGACTTTCAATGAGACAATTTTTATAAAATTAAAATTATGAAAAAATAAAAGATATCTATCTTAATTGTCACCAAGGTAAGATGTGCTTAAGAAGTTTTTTAAAAAATATTTTAGAGAGCATAAAATACTGAAGCATTAAAGAAAATTGGAAAATTCATAAATAAATATATTTGCGAAAAAATAATGTGATCCCTGTTCATAATGATAAAGAAGGATACACAGAGTCAACAGGCGGAAGTCTTATCAATTTTATAGCTGTGTGTAGAAAAAAAGAAACGGCAGCTGCTGGCAAGATAGGGGGATGGGTTTATATTTTTCCAATGAAGATGGCGATGTTCAGGATGATCAAAGAGCAGCCCTGAATTATATTGTTCATGTTAGATTTAGTCCTGTTGTCATTTATTCATCCAAGGTTTACTGCAAATTGAATATTATGTACACAGCTGATTAAGCCCAAAAGGATGGCAAGTCATTTTAATTGCACGTACTGTAAGATATTGGACAAGGTTTGTGATAAGCTCTGGGGGGAAAAAACAAATATATGTGTTTGAAGTAGCAAGTGTATTGAAGGCCCTGCATTCCAGCTCAGTGCAATGGTTTCTGAGTAATCGGCATTAAGAAGATACTCTAACTCGAGCACTGGTGGGATTTATTCCCTATCTCTGTTTTAAAGTTAGCCCTTGTCTTAGGTATGCATCAAAAGGGTACTTTGTATGCCTCAGTGCAAGCTCTGGGCAAATATCCATCTGTCATAATAGTGCATCTTGTCTGAGGGAGAAAGGTGATAGGGGGAGAATGAGAAAACAGTTGTTGTGCTGCTCTGTGTTGTGAGCAATAGATCACAGCCTGCCTTCACCTGCTGCAGTACTATCACACAGCTAGCTAAAGACAGTTGATGATTAAATAAATGTGAGGGTGAAAAAGAACTGAAGAGAAATATGTATGAAATCACAGGTGTAGGTGTCAGGAACTGTTTGATGTATGAATAAAAGATGTTTCAATGATGTCCCAGAAATTGAAAAAGTAACACCCCCCACCCCCACCCCCAAGATATTAATGTCTTAGAGTAATCACATTTATTTGCTTTAATTGCAGGATTTGTCAAGTTTATTAAAAGCCTTATATGATGCTGTGGGTTCTTCCATCAAAATCCCCTCCAATGGAACAAAAACTCTGAAACTAAGGCTCACTGTAGGGCAGGACAACACACAGCTGTCAGAAAACAAGACCCCTACCAAGGGCAAAAAGGACAAAGTCAAGGACAGTGATAAGGTGAAGGACACTCCCAAATCAAAAGAATTTGCTAAACTTAACAATAATCTTACTGCCACTCATGTTCAGCTGCCTGCAAAGCAGTGCAATAGTGACTTACAGGAAAGGGTGAAAGGACAATGTCAAAACTCCTGTCAGGTCAAAGGTCATAACCCCTGCACAGCTCATGGTCAAGATAATGTGTGTTCTGGATCCAAGAGGATTCAACTGACATCACAAGAAAGGCAACAGCTTGTGGAATTGGTTCAGGAGAACATGGAAAGAAACCATGTGAAACAGTTAAGGTAATATTACTGTAGTTCAAATTACTTGAGTTAGTAACACATCTTCTTTATTAACATTATTGTTGTTTCGGGATATACAGTGCATATGTAAAAAACCTGTTGTGTATTACTGAGAATCATTCAAACAAACAGCAGAGATGAGAATACACACAGAGAGATCTACTGAATTTTTTTTTTAAGAATGTGAGCCCAGTGGAGTGATAATTCAATGAAAATAATCATCAATTAACATGAAAATTATTAAAGTTGTTCAATACTTTATATGGGATAATTGTGTGTGATATTTTTGTAAAAATATTTCTCTTTGAAAAAAAAAAGGTTAATCTAGACCATTAGAATCCAGCCTTGATTGTCGACAATTCAAGAAAGGTTGTTACTAGAGGGAGGAGGAAAATCTGGACTTTTAACATGTTGGGCTCATTTGAGCAAACATGCCAAGTGTGTGTAAAAATCCCTTTATTCTTGTGATATTTCTACATCATTTTTTGAGATCACACAGAATAAATGAATAAAATTGCCATCTGAAAATGTTTCTGGGAGTAATTAAGCAGCAATGGAAGAAAGTTTTATTTGTGAGTCTCCGTTTGAAGTTCAAACATGTAATGCAATCAGACTGGCTACTGAGGCAGAAAAACTCTTTGAACTGATGAGGCTGGGCTAGCTGGGATGAAGCAATATTGTCTTTTTTTCCCACTGATAAAGAAACCATATTAGATCTAATGAAAGTGAGAAAATGGGATAATTTTCATTAATTCAGCATATTTTATGAAAAGGGACAAGGAAGGTAACTCTTGTTGAATTTCAAATTTTAATTAAATTTTCTTTGAAAGTTGTCTTACTTCTGAAATTGTTACAAGATAATTAAACAGATTTTTTTACTGCTTTTAATTACAAATGGAAAAGATGTAATTGTGTAAAGTACAATCAATTTTCAGTAAAAGATGAAAAATAGAGATACATGTATTTGTAGATTTATAAAGGAAAGGAAATGCATTTAAAGAACAAACAGAATTAAACATTTTGATTGAAAACATTAAGTTAATGGGAAGAGAAAATGTGGGATATAAATTGTGCATCCTACAAAGAAAAAAAAAGATGAATTTGTGATTGTAAAGTTACATCAAACTTATTAGGAGATTGAATAGGAAAAAAATAGATAGGGAAGCTAAAAGCAAACTCATGAATCAACAGAGAGCCATCATCAAAGTAGATCTATGGACAGAATTCTGCCGGGCTGGTCTGTGAAGTATCTCAGTACTCTTATGTTCAAAGACATCTAAATAACACTGATGACACTCTCTCTTACAAGTTATGCCTCAAGGGGGCACCAAAAACACTCTCAACTTCCCCCCTCTCTCTCTCTTGGGGGAGGAATTCTGATGTCCAGAAAAGAAAATTTCTTTTTAATCATTCTTTTTAATGTCTGAACATGAATATGAATGGAAATTCAGCTTTGTTGCTGTCAGTCGGTAGTGTTGTTATATGTGTGTCTTGACAAAAGAGGAATTTGACCCTGTCTTTCATGGTAGTGTTAATGGGTGTAATGGAGATGAAATACTAAGTTAAATTAAAAAGTTTCAAGTAAAAGTAATCAAGGGATAGGTATTTTCCTGGTATGTTTGTGATTCTTGAGATCAAAACTCAGTCTCTAAGTCCACTGTAGAACTCCCTTCAAAGGAAAGATCGGGGAGAAGAAATGAAAGAGAATAATTTTGGAGCTTCAAAGGTCTGCAAGCCTGACATGTGCTTTTATACTGCCGTTTTCATTAAGAGAAGAAAAAAAAAACACAAAAGTATGAAAAGTCATTTTTCACAATGACATCCTTTTAAAGGAAAGAAGTTAGGAATCTTGTGTGGCTATTAATCGGCTTCAAAGATAATGTTTGGCTTTGTGTAAATTGATTATGATCCAGTGGAGATTTGTCTTATGACTTATTCAAAGACAAAAAATTGGGAGCTCAAAGAGGGATAAATTAGGAATTTCAAAGATCTTTCGTAGCAGAAAAAAAAATCCACCACAGAAAGCATCTTTTGGTTCTAGATCCAGCTTTATTTCAGTATATCATACTGTTTTTCTCTTTGCCTTCAAAGGATGTCTTCTGATGAAGGAATTGTCATCTATTAGAGACAACAATTTTCATATAAAAGAACTCTTTCAAGATACTGATTTCAAAGAGTAAATGATATTAAAGAGGCTGGACTCTTTTTCATTTTATGTCTGATCTTCAGAAATGTTTTTCTTTGTTCTGTCTGTCTTTATGACAATATCAGATTAATTGTATGCTTTTAAATGACTGATTATTTCCTATCTTTTATATGACTTCACTTTGACAAACATTCTTTTATTTCTAACTACTAGAGTAGTTCAATTTTCATTTTCAAAAAAGCGTCGTTTTTTAAGCTTTTTTTTTTCATAATAAATACTTTAGTAGCCAGGGTAGATGAGCATTACTGCTAATATTTGATTGATCTCTAGGCAGTTTCATTTCTTTTTGATTTCTTTAAATCAGTTATGTTGAAGTCTGCTAATTCAATATTTGATTATTTCTCAAAATGAATATTTTTATTGCAGGAGACATCACAGTGATTGTCGAGGCATCACAACTCATGACCACTCTCACCACAAGCGGCGCCACAGAGGACACTGCCCCAATCAGACAACCTGTAATAATCAAACCAGCAACAACACCACTACCAATAATATACAAGAGGAACGTGCAAAGGAAAGCCAAGATAGGCGAAACTACTACCTCGACTTAGCTGGGATTGAGCATAATGCGCAAACCCAGTCCACGCAAAACCTCAACAACAGCACGGGACAATCAGCTAGGATTGGAGACAGTTTAGTTTCCCCTCGATCAAAAAGTCAGGATACAAAGAAATGTGATAACATCCAGCGAGAATCACAGAGAATCAAACAACAGCATTTAGACAGTGCTAAGACAGAACATTCAAGGTCAAGGTCATTTGATCCACAGGAAACGGAGACAAGGTCACCCAAGGGGCATCACAAAGGGTCACCGCACAAGCATGGGCGATTTCGGCCAGTAAGCTTGCCTATGCATGTTCCCGATTCAATGTCCCATTACCACAGGCGTCATCGCCATAGAGACAAAGACCATGACCTTGCCATGCAACAAGTGGCAGAGTGGATTGAACGTGAACATGCGTGTGATGTGGATGGGGACAAAATAGTGGTACAAAAGCATGAACATCATCACATACACGAACATCACCATCATCATCACTATCATCATTATTATGAAGCATGAAAGGTCAAATGTCATTGGAATCCATTAATTTGTTGAATCTTTTCTAGAGTTTAATTTAAAATTGTCAGATTTGTTGTTAATTTTTTTTTTTTTTCACTATAAGGATACACATTTTTCTGTTGATTGTATAGCCCTTTCTTAATGCTCAGAGTCGGGAATACACCTGGCCTTTGAATTGTAACTATTCATTTATTTTTTTTTGTGATAAACAAATTTTCCTTGTCTTTTTTCAGTGTAAATAAATGTGTAAAAAATACTCAGTCTCTCATGTATGTTACTTAACTGTATACATTTTCCTTGTCGTGAGGAATTCATGTCTGCTTCATCATTGTATTGTATGCTCATTTTTTTCAGGTTTATTAATTATCAAACATTCATACAGTAGTATCAAAAAGCATTTGCAAATCACTCTCATTTCAGTAAATTATTTGAATGCATGTATATATTATACATGTTTGAGTTCATTAAGTATTCAATTAAAAAATGGCTAAAGGGTTTGAACTATTTGAAACCCTGTTATTTTGATTTTTTTTTTTTTTTTTTTTGGAACAATCAGATCTGTTTGCCAGATAGATAGCAGTGTGTGTATCTGTGAAATGTATTGAATGTCTGGAAATAAGTGAATGATATAGAATGAGAAATAAAACTGATTTCTGATATGTATTCTCCCATAAAGTTGCTAAAATTAATCCTTTATCTATGTTCTGAGTCTGGTTGTAGATAAAAGATTCGCTGTTTAAAAAGCTGTACCTTTAATATTTTTCTGATTTTTTTTTCATTGAATATGAGGCCTGTAATGTATTTTCTGGATAGCCACTTTGAACTGTTTTCTCCCTAAAATAAAGATTTTAGTGGAAGAAATGTCTTTAGGTACAATGCAAAAAATATTCAGTTTTGAATTTAGAAAAAAAAAAAAAAAAACTTGGATGAAAACTTTGGTATTGATTTTTAACTTCTCAAAAAATCACAGAATTACAAAAGGCAGAAAAAAGAGTTTTGATTTATGTTGTTTTGAATGTGTATTGTTGAATGATTGCTTAAGAGCAGACAATGAGATTGAATTGTCCAAATTCTACCTCAGTTAAGGAATCGTCATGTGCTTCAAATGTTTTGAATAAGAAACCCTGCATGTTTTATTTTGTTCAACTTTGTAAAGTTTTTGAATCTCGATTTTTTTCCCAACCCCATTTATTACAGGTTTGATTTTGTTTCAAAGCAATAATATGAATAGATTAATTTAAGAAACTGAATGAAAAAATGCTCTTAATTCAGATTTAATATTTCACAAAATGTACCTTTCTGTGTGAAGAAGCATGTTCTTTTATGAAAGGTTTGAAGGTTTTATTTTGTTAAGACTACAATGGTATTGTTATATATGTCCCATTTTGTGGAAATGTTGAAGTAAAAATATGAAATAAAAGTTCACAACATTTTTCACTCTTGTCATACTTCATAGAAGCTGGTATAAATGAATCGGAGAACAACATTTGTCCTGTGTTGCAAGCTAGACAATTATTCCAAGTCATGTGAGTTTTGAGAAAATCTCTGTCCAAATAGAGTGCATCTCCATATGTTTGTGAAGACCCAATAAATTCTATCACCTGATTGGTCAGAGACCAGAAGAGCTTATGCGATAGTAAGGTGTCCATCGTCCGTCCATCTGTAAACAATTTTTCAAAACGCTACTCCTGCTACAGGTTTGGTCTACTTTCATAACTTGGCCCAAAGTAGACTACACTAAGATACATAATTCTGTGTATCGGTTTTTAGGTCACCTGAGTCACTCAGGTGACCTATTGCTATCCGTTCTCATCCGTCGGCGTGCGTCGTGTGTTAACATCTGAACATTTTTAGCTTCTTCTCTGAAACCACTCAACCAATTTCAACCAAATTTGGCATATAGCATCTATGAGTGAAGGGAAACAAAAATTTTGAATTTCATGGTCCCTGCCCCCCTTGGGCCTGAGGGGTGGGGCTAAAACCACCAAAAATAATGCAATCTTTAAAAATCTTCTTTACTCTTGGACATCAAGCAGTCAAACTGTTGGCATCATTGTAATAAGCATTGAGCCCTCTACCAAAATTGTGATTAGAAATTCATGGCCCCAGGGTCAGGGGTTCTGGTGCTAAGGTGGGGCTATATAGATCATATAGTGAAAGTGCATTATTTCTTTGAAAATCTTCTTCTCTGCTCCTGGGTATTAAATAAAGTAACTAAGTACATAGTTATGAAGAGCAAGAGTGCCTCTTCCAAAATTGTGAAATTCATGGCCCCAGGGTCAGGGGTTCTGGTGTTAGGGTGGGGCTCTATTGATTATATAGTGAAAATGCATTAATTCTTTGAAAATCTTCTTCTCTGCTCCTGGGTATTAAATAAAGTAACTAAGTACATAGTTATGATGAGCAAAAGTGCCTTTTCAAAAATTGTGAATTTCATGGCCCCAGGGTCAGGGGTTCTGGTGTTAGGGCGGGGCTCTATCGACTTTATAGTGAAAATGCATTAATTCTTTGAAAATCTTCTCCTCTGCTCCTGGGCATTAAGGTGATAAACTAAGTACATAGTTATGATGAGGAGGTGGGCCTCTTCCAGAATTGTGAAAGCCATGGCCCTTGGGTCAGGGGTTCTGGTGTTAGGGTGGGGCTCTATTGTTTATATATTTAAAATGCATTAATTCTTTGAAAATCTTCTTCTCTGCTCCTGGGTATTATTTAAACAAACTAAGTGCTTGATTATGATGCATAAGGATGCCTTTTCGAAAATTGTGAATTTCATGGCCTCAGGGTCAGGGGTTCTGGTGTAAGGGTGGGACTCTATTGATTATATAGTGAAAATGCATTGATTCTTTGATAATCTTCTTCTCTGCTCCTGGAGATTATTTAAACAAACTAAATGCATGGTTATGATGCATAAGGATGCCTTTTCAAAAATTGTGAATTTCATGGCCCCAGGATCAGGGGTTCTGGTGTAAGGGTGGGGCTCTATTGATTATATAGTGAAAATGCATTGATTCTTTGAAAATCTTCTCTTCTACTGCAGATTATTTAAACAAACTAAGTGCATGATTATGATAGGCAAGGATGCCTCTTCCAAAATTTTTAAATATATGGCCTCAGTTTTTGGGGTTCTTGGGGGGGGGGGGCTCTATTGATTATATAGTGAAAAAGCATTAATTCTATTAATTAATCCTGTCTGCTCCTTAGTGTTGAGCTGATAAATAAATTGCTTAGCTATGATGAAAATTGGAGCTTCGAACAGAATTTTTAAATCTTGTGGTCCTAGGGTCAGGGGTTCTGGCATAATGAAGGGGGGGGGGGGGCTTTTGATAATATAGTGGAAAAGTGTTAATTCTTTGAAGTCCATAGTTATGATGATGAGGGTAACTCTTCCAAATTTGTAAATTTCTTGACCCTTGGTCTTCGGTTCTGGTGTTGGGGTAAGGCTTTGTTGAATCTGTAGTGAAAATGCATTGTACCTGTGAAATTCTTCTCTGCTTCTGGGCATATCAGAAGCAAACTGAGTAAAAGTTTAAATGATATAAGTAAGCATATTTCTACCAGATTTTTGAACATCTGGACCATTTGTCTAAGCATTCTGGTCCTGGGCAGGGCTCTATTAATTTGTATTCTACTGATAGAAGTTATTCCCCTTTTCCATTCACCTTTGATAATTAATCACTGTAAGTAATGTATTTGAAAGGTTAATAGAATAAGATAATTATGCAAGAATGTTTATTGTATAATTCAAAAAGTACTTTCTTAGTTTTAATAATCAGGTAGACCTGTAAGTAATAGATAAATAAAAATGAGACAAAAATAACTTATCTTATTAAAAGTTCTTCAAAGACCATAAGAGAGGTCAATGCCAGAGCTCTTAATATGGGTTTAAAAATAGTACGGAAGCACTAATAGTTTGTTAATAGTCTGCATGGTGATAGTGTTAAGTGGGGTACAGATTAGAACTTAATTTATGAGTTGATACTGAATACTAGACTAATTTTGTTGATCCTGATCTTCCTACTTCTCTTGCTTTAGGGCAACAAAGCTTCATCTATCAGTGTATTAACTTATAATTGTTGTATTATACTCAGGTGACCATTAAGGCCCTTGGGCCTCTTGTTGATTTCAATGAACAGTGTTGCCATGGTTACTAAAAATAGAAATTTCTTTGAAAAACTTTCAAAATGCTACTTCTCCTACATCTTTCATCTGATTTCAATATAACTTGGCACACAAGTAGACTACACTAAAATAAATAGTTCTACATATTGGTTTTTGATTTTGATGAATGGTATTGCCATGGTTACTAAAAATAGAAATTTCATTGAAATACTATCAAAATGCTACTCCTCCTACAGTTTTGGTCTGATTTCAGTATAACTTAGCACACATGTAGATTACCCTAAGATACATAATTCTCTTGATTTTGATGAATGGTGTTGCCATGGTTACTAAAAATAGAAATTTTCTTGAAATACTTTCAGAACGCTACTCCTTCTACAGTTTTGGTCTGATTTCAATATAACTTGGCACACAAGTAGACAACACTGAGTCCACATAATTGTCTTTATTAGGTCACCTGAGTCACTCAGGTGACCTATTGCTATCTGTTTTTGTCCGTCGTCAGCCGTCGTGCGTTAACTTTTGAACATTTTCAACTTCTTCTCTAGAACCGCTCAACCAATTTCAACCAATTTTGGCATATAGCATCTTTGGGTGAAGGGGAACAAAAATTGTGAATTTCTTGGTCCCTGGGGCCCCAGGGCTGGGACTAAAACCACCAAAATTGATGCAATCTTTAAAAATCTTCTTCTTTACTCCTGGACATTAAGCAGTCAAACTGTTGACATGATTGTAATAAGCATTGGGCCCTCTACCAAAATTGTGAAATTCATGGCCCCAGGGTCAGGGGTTCTGGTGCTAGGGCAGGGCTATATAGATCATATAGTGAAAGTGCATTATTTCTTTGAAAATCTTCTTCTCTTCTCCTGTGTATTATTTAAACAAACTAAGTGCATGGTTATGACAAGCAATGATGCCTTTTACAAAATTATGAAATTCATGGCCCCTGGGTCAGGAGTTCTGGTGTTAGGGTGGGGCTCTATTGATTATATAGTGAAAATGCATTATTTCTTTGAAAATCTTCTTCTCTACTCCTGGGTATTATTGAAACAAATTGAATACATAGTTATGATAAGCAAGGGTGACTCTACCAAAATTATGAAATTCATGGCCCCAAGGTCAGGGGTTCTGATGCTGGGTGTTGGGGGGGGGGGGGGGGCTCTATTGATAATATAGTGAATCTGTAGTAAAAATGCATTATTTCTTTGAAAATCTTCTCTGCACCTGGGCATATCAGAGGCAAAAAGAGTAAAAGTTTTAATAAAGATTTTTGAACATCTGGACCATTTGGTCAAGTGTTCTGGTCCTGGCCAGGGCTCTATTAATTTGTATTCAACTGAGAGGAGTTATTCCCCTTTGCCATTTACTTTTGATAATTAATCACTGTAAGTAATGTACTTGAAAGGTGAATAAAATAGGAGAATTATGCAAGATTTTTTTATTGTTTAATAAAAAAAGTACTTTTATAGTTAAAATGATCAGGTAGACTTGTAAGTAATAGATAAATAAAAATGAGACAAAAATAACTTGTCTTATTCAATGTTCATCAAAGACCAAGAGAGTCTAATGTAAGAGATTTCATCAAGGAATTAAAATAGTACAGAATCACTGATAATTTGTTAATATACTGTATGGTGATAGTGATAAATGGGGAACAGATTAGAGCCTAATTTATGAACTGTTAATGAACACTAGACTAATTATTTTGTTGATCCTGATCATCCTGTTTTTCTTGCTTTTGGGCAACAACGCTTCACCTATCAGTTCATTTTATACTTTATGGATCCTCTAAATTATTGTATTATACTCAGGTGACCATTAAGGCCCTTGGGCCTCTTGTTGTTTTTTGATTTTGTTGAATGTTGTTGCCATGGTTACTAGAATTGAAATTTCTGTAAAATTCTTTTAAAAGGCTACTCCTCCTACAGTTTTCATCTGATTGCAATAAAATCTTGCCACAAAAAGAGACTAAATCATGGATCATTATTCTATTTATTGCTGTTGCAAAGTTTCAAATCCAAGTGCTACTTTTTCTTTCCTTTGTTATAAGTACAAACCAGCAGAGCACAGTCTTGGCAGAGACTTCTGGTTTTCTCGAGTAATCACGTTCTTAGGATATCCATGTCACTTGG